ATTAGTTTAAGCCCCTAGAAGCTGTAGTAATATTACTACATGCAGAGCAGATAGTAATTTTCTGATGCAATAGTTTACTGGCCTAAACAGATACTTTACTGCACTACAGAGCCTTTTTTGGCACTTACTACACCCATGTTTTAAGGCACCTTAAAGCCAGTCCAGCTCTAGGTCTTATCTTCAACAAAAATATTTTTTAACTTAAGGCTTTCTGAAAGTTGGTTTATTTTTCGTTATTCCGGAGAATAGTCCTATATCATACTATAGAAATCTATGTAGACCGCAGAGACCTCTTCTCACGTATGTAGATGTTGTGTATTGACTCATCGATTGATGAGATGGTGACAATGGAGCTTGCATGGCTTTCCAGGTTAAAAGGTGAGTGGAATGTGCCTAAAATTACTCTGATTCATTTGAAGTGTAAAATATAAGCTTCCTTCTAACATTACATTGCTAAGAATACAGATTGTCCTTTTGCACATCTCTTATCAGTGAGGCTAGTAATCGACTTCAAACTGGGAGCAATTATACTCACAAGAGTCGCAACAAAACTAGACAAATAAAATTTGAATATGAATATATATTGAAAGCTAAATTCAAAAGTTCCAAAAGCAGGCAAAGCCCTAATTAGAGTTCTAAATGTACACTAGTTGTTTAACAAAATGCCCCAATAAAACCTATTATTTTATCCATTTCAAATGTCGATAAAAACTAAGTAAAAGTAAATCAATTATGTTTTAAAGTAAATCGAAAGATTATAATTATGATATCTCAATTTCTTAGCTTCCTCGTTTCTATGTCATGGTTCTTTGGTTGTTACTCTGTTATTAAGAGCTTGTATGTGTTGGATTTGTCTACTCTTAATTTTTGCTTTGTTGTTAGGAAACCTTGTTGTTGTATACAGGTGCTTAGAGTATGTTATAATTGCTTTCGTATCGAAGCTTGTATGTATGTTAAATGTGCTTTGTTTTTTATAATGTCGGGGCTTGGATTTATGGGGCTATAGGCTATTAAAATCTACTCTAGCAACAGTGGATGTTGTATATAACAGTTTTTGTCAATGGAAGGACTATGTATGCTTAATGCTTTAGTTAGGGTCCTTAACTACTGCTACACTTGAAGTACAAAAGAAGGTCTTAAAGATCATAGAGAGCACTTCCTAAGCATGCCTTATCATAAATCTAAATTGATTAGAGTTTATAGATGGATATATACGAGTTGTTAGTATGGAAATAGAAAACAAAGTTTGGAATGACATTCTAGCAACATGTGTGTAAATTTAGTTTACATTAAACTAAATATAATTATACACCTCAGAGTTTATAATTTTAATTATCCATCTTTGTATTAAACATTTCAAACAAGGTCAAATGGTGAAGCATCTTCGCAAGCTGTTTAGAATGGTTGGCATTGTTTCATGTCACCTTACTGCCAAATTCCCCTCTATGATGGATCAATCCTATTTTCTTGTATTGTGTTTTGTTTAAATGGCTCTGCAATCATTTAAAAAAAAAAAAATAAATAAGATATGGGTTTCTTATAAATAAGATATGGGAATTGACCACCTGATAAGTTTGCGTTCTCTTCTTTTGTGTTTTTTGGTGCTTAGTTAGTCATTAGTGCTTCCTGAAGCATGGTCTTGAAATTTGAGGAATTTTCAGAGGTTGTTTGTTTATTTTCAGCTGTTATACTGGTAAAACTTTGAGAATATCTTATATGTGATGAAGCCAAGCACTTGTTTGATTAGCGCATGGTTCATTTATAGGTCTTTTAAAAGTCTTGTCGTTTTCTTTGGTTTCTCAGTTAACCTCAGTTTTCAGTGAGTTAGGTTTTTCTTTTTGAAGTATGTGGTACCATGGAATAGCTTAAAGGAGCAAATCGGCAATGACTCAGTCATATGGCCTTATATCCTTTGTTCAGCTGAACAGTGTGTTTGAGTCACTGTGTGTTTGAGTCACTAGTGACCATGGCATAAGCCTCTGCATCAAAACAGAAAAAAACACCACAGACAAAATACAACCAGAAAAAACAGAAAACCAATAAGGAAACAAACAGAAACTAGCTTGCATTCCTAAGTTGAAACAACCATCTGACTTGGGCTCTTGTCCATCTTCTGTTTATCAGTTGCTGGCTTCTGTTTATAGATGCAACATTGTAGATTAAGTTACCTTACATTTTTTTTTGGTTTTTTTGTAACAGTGCTATGGATTCTTCAGTTGCTACTGATATTAACAATGCTAAAGATTATACAGATGTACATTTGGAAAGGATAATGTACGTGTTTTGTTATTTCCTTATTTTATGTTTTCTTATTAAATGCTTGTTGATTTAATGAATTATTATAGAAATGCTTGCTAATTTGACATATGAGCAAATAACTATTTGCTTATTTTCTAGTGTTTTTCTAAATGAGCAAAAAACTGTTTGCTCATTTCCCAAATGAGCAAAAAACTGATTGCTCATTTCACAAATGAGCAACTCACTATTTGCTCATTTCATAAATGAACATCTATGTGTTTGCTCATTTCACAAATGAACATCTATGTTTTTGCTCATTTGTGTAAAATTAGCAACTAAATATTTGCTTATTTGACAAATGAGCAACTAACTATTTGCTCATTTGTTAAATTAGCAACTAAGTATTTGCTCATTTGACAAATGAGCAACTATCTGTTTTGCTTATTTTAGAAATAAGTAACAAATTATTTGCTCATTTGACAAATGAGCAAACTAATGTTTGCTCATTTCACAAATGAGCAACTAACTATTTGTTCATTTGACAAATGAGCATCTATGTTTTTCCTTATTCGTTAAATCTATGTGATATTTGACTTTTTTTTATGATATTGTATCAGCAGGAATTCTATTGAACAGGAGTCTGGTGCGAATGCGAGTTCATCAGGGGCGGCTACTGTCGATGCCGGTTCATCAGGGGCTGCTGCTGAGGGTGGTTCACCAGGGGTTGCTGCCGAAGCAGCTTCATCAGGGGCTGCTGCCGAGGTTGGTTCATCAGGGGCTGTTGCCGAGGCAGGTTCAACAGGGGCTCTAGTGGCAGAGGAGAAGATTAGTGAAAAGAAGAAAAAGAAAATCAAAGTAGTTGCTACAAAGGGTAAAGGAAAAAAGGTTGAAAAAAGAGTGAAAGAAAAGCATAATGTGAAGTTTGAGGATCCAGACAGTGAAGATGTTGTTGATGAAGTGCAGAAATCAAAATCTGTTGTTTATGGGATGTTGCGTAATAGGATGTCACCTTCATCTGTTGTTAATGTTTTTAAGGAGTTTTCTGAAGATCAGTTGACTGCCATTAGAGCTATAGGATTTGGGTCTTTGGAGTTTTTGAAAGTGTCCCAACTGCCTTTGCAATTGGGTTTTTGGTTAGTCAAGCACTTTGATGCTCATAGTTGTACGTTAAATATTCTTGATTCCGATCCTTTCAAAATTACGGAACAACATGTACATGATGTCCTAGGGCTGCCAGCTGGAGGCATGGAGATGGATGCTAATATTTTTTCAAAGGATGATAAAGTTATTAACCAGTGGAAAAAACAGTTCCCAAAGAACTCATTATCTGTGAACATTGGGGAACTTTCAATGTACTTGAAGAACCATAAATCAGCTGGGCCAATGTTCAAACACAATTTCGTAGTTCTTTGTGTTTCCACTTTAATGTCAGGTAGTTTTTTCATTTTCATATTTCTTATTTTAATTTCATTTTGTTCATTTTAATTTCATTTTGCTCATTTTAGTTTCATTTTGCTCATTTTAGTTTTTGTTTGATCATGTTTTTTTAATTTTGTTATTTTATGTTAGGAGGACAAAACAAGAATGTTTATCATGACGTTCTTAGATATTTGAGTAATGTTGCTAAAATCAAGGATTTAAATTGGTCGAAGTTTATCCTTGATTCTCTTGTGAAGGCGAAGATCAAATGGGATGAGCTTCCTACTCGCTACTTTCCAGGATCTTTATTATTTCTTATGGTATGTTTTTATGTGTTGCATTTTATTGTTTGAAAAATAGCAGGATCACCTGCAACCCCCTTCCTCCCTTAAACAAGAACACACACACACACTTACACACACACATACACATAAATACACATACACACGCACACAGACACACATATATGCAATGCACCACACACACTGACACTGACACACACACACAGATACACACACACACAGACAGATGCACATACATACATGCACTCACAACCTATAATAGAATATGAAATCAGAATTGAAATGTGTGGGTAGGTGGTGGTAAGGGCTAGGTCTGGTATTTTCTAAGTTTTTTATTTTTTATTTTTTATGCATTAACTGTTATTTATTTGTTTAATTTTAATGTACTAATCTTTTCTATCTTACTTGTTTGTAGCTTTTATATGTTGATTATTTTATCATTGAGGAAGTTAGAGCGAAACGAGAAACTCCTGTTCTCAAAGGTTGGTCAACGAATATGTTGTCTAGCCGTGAGAAATTGGAAATTTTTAAGGGGAGGCTTGGAATTTTCGATAAAAATCTGAAGGTTGTTGGTCCTTCTGGCAGCAAACAACCAAAAATGGTATTTCACTCTCAATCAATACTTAGATTTTCTGCCTTTTAGAATTAAATTGAATTGGACCAAATCTTGTTAGATTTCATTGCAAACGATCCCAACTTATTCTGACCTTTTTTTTTTTTTTTTTTTTTTTTTTTTTTTTTTGCATTCAGGAAACATCTGTTCCAACTGTTCCACAAACTAATGAAGATGTTGAAGTAGATCCAAAGAAGGTATTTATATGATTTTTAATGTAGATCTAATATTAATTTAATTTGTTGTTTAATGACATCCATTCTAACTCAATGTTCTGAATTCTATTCTGTGAAGTTTGGTTGGTAAAATTGGGTTGTGGAGTATCAGCAACAGTTGAATAATGATGCAATGTGGCACTCTATTATGGCGCATCAATGGAGAAATCAGCAAAAAATTAATTGCTCATTTGACAAATGAGCAAATATTTTACTATTGAGTTGTTATTTATGTTTTTTTTATTTAGTCTTTTGTTTTTTTATTTATCTTATTTATTTATTTTTTTTTTCTAGAAATTCTTAATGGATCTTGCAGCGTCTTCGACTAAGCTGGTGTTGGCATACATGGACTTTCATGAAAAACATGAACTAGCTGTGAAGCATTTTCCTCACAATGAGAAAATACAAAAGCTGAAGGAAGATGCAATGGGTAGTTGTGACGAGCAAAGATTGAGTTCTCAAGCTATGCCAGAAAATCATAGCTTTTCTTTTAGCCAAGACGATGAGTATTGGCAAGATCTAGCCGTCATTGAAGCTTGGGATAGATTTTCCAAGATTTCTGCTAATGAGAAGAATGTTGAATCCTCAGTCTTTGCTAGGGCTGATTGTCCAACCGTAACAGGAGCCATTGATGTTACAAAGATTGCGGCTGAAAGTGTTCAGATAGCAAATAGTCTTTCTGAAAATGAAGGTCCTGCTATTGTAGTTGAAACTGAAAAAGTTGTAGGAGGTTTAAGTATTCGATCTGGTTTGAGATCTTCAGTTAAAAATGGATTTGGAACTCCCACTTTTAGTTTAGGTTTTGATGATCTGGAGAACTCCCCAACTATTGTACAACCTTTAGTAGCTGCTGATGCTGATGTTCCTGTACGACCTTCAGTTGCTGTCGATGTTGATGTTCCTTGTGCTGTAGGTGGTGCTGATGTTCCTGTTTTGAAGAAGCATAAAGTTCAACCATCAATGCTGCTTAGATCACCTTTTAAGGCACGGATTATCAACATTTACACTACATTATCAGAAGTTCAGAAAACTGTCTTGGAAGCTCTGTTTGATGATGATAAAAATCGTTTGTAAGTATTTTTTTTTTATTATAGAATTTGCTATCTTGTATACTAATTCATATTTGCTTTAGTGATATTAACTTTTTTAATTCCTTTATGCAGTGATCTAGTCTTTTTATCCAAAGTTAATGGAGTGCATGATGTTGAAGTCATGAGATTTCAACTTGAAAAGTTGTATACTCACCTTAAAATTGATTCAGAAATCATTAATGCTTGGTGTAGTATTTTGAATTATAATGAGAAATTTAGAGACTCAAGTTCTCCTGCTCGTTTCTTTTTTAATGTTACTGCTACTGTAAGTTCATATTCTTTAATTTGTTTTATTTTATTGAAGTATTTTACAGTATTCCAGTTGTATTAATTTTTTTTTAAACATGTAGGAGTGTCTTGTTCATTATGAGATTGATTTTGTTAGTTATCGGAATACTATGTTTCGTGAGGTTTCTCAGAAGTTATACAGCCAAAGTGTTGTCCCAAAGAAGGACATTCAACTTTTCTTCTTCCCAGTTTACGAAACAGGTCATTATTTCTTGGTATGTTTCAACACTACCACAGAGCATGGTAATATTGAGGTTATTGATTATAATGAAGATTCCAGAGATCATACACAGCTTTTAAAACATTTGGTACGATTTAAAAGTTAATTTCTATTAACATTATGTTTGCTTATTTCAGTAAAATTATTAGATTTTATAAATATCTATTATCTTTTCTCATTTGACATGTTTATTTTCAGAGAAGTGCATTTTGCAATTTTATGCAATATGAAGGAAATGTACAGAACTCTATGTTGTCAAGTGATATCAAGCGCATGGAGCATGTTACACTTGATTCTCCTTGGAAGTCTACAGATAATAATCATTTGCACTGTGGAATTGCATTGATGAGGATTATGGAAACATACATGGGTTTGTCAAAGTGGGCTTCAGGTTTGAAGAAGAATAATGTAAGTCTTTCATCTTATATGAATTGTCCTTAGATACTTGTTAATTTCTAATACTCTCTGAGTTTATAGGAATATGGACATGTAAAGTGAAAATTTGAATGATAAAGAAAATTCATGATAATAAAGGATATTAGTATGTTTATATGCACCACAAAGATATTTTTTTTATTATTTTTATATAGAAATTTAAATAAATCTTGCTCATTTGTCAAATGAGCAGCTAATAATTTGCTCATATTTCAAATGAGCAAGCAATTATTTGACTGAATTAATTTGATTAAATATAAGGCTTAAACTGGCATCTCTGTGCTTAAACTAGTGCTTTAGGCTGTGGATTATGCATCCTTGATAAGTGAAATCTTCCAAGATTCCATCTGTTTATGCATGGCAGAGAAGGTAGCACACTAAGGCAGCTTCCTACTCTGGTTTTTTTTTTTCTCTTGATGTAGAGGCTTTGCACCAGCATTTCAATAATTAAAAAAACAGGACATAATTTCCACAACTTCTAATAGAATTCTGTTTATGTCCAATATAAACTGTTTATGTCCAATATAAGTAGCAGATGGTTCTGAGTGACCTTGCACACCAATCATCCACCTTCCCTTTTCCAACTCGGCTGAAACTTGGAGTATAAACTGTAGAGCAATTGAACCAAAATTTAGTGAACCCAGTGAACCTTTAGCAAGATTTCAAGCTACTTTTCTTTTAAAATAAATGTAAAGGAATCAGAATTTGGGTTTCTTATTACTTATTCTATTCTTCTGCTACGTGCTTCGTGCTTCACCCTGCTTTATGCATTTATATTTTTTAAAATTTTCTTGTTTTATTTTTTCTTTCCTATTTCTTACAGGTGATAATCATGGAAAAACTTCGTGTGAAGTACACCTTGGCAATAATTTTAAGCGAAATAAACACAATTCAATCTGCTAAAGAGATTCCTCAAAAGAAGAAAACGCATAAGAAAGTTTCTCCTAAGACTGAAGAAGAAAAAGTTGAAGAACAAAAGGGTGAAGAAGAAAAGGCCTAAGAAGAAAAGGCTACTTGTTAGTGTAACCTCAATATTTTGCTTGATGTAGTATTGATTAAGGTGTTGACATAGCTTTCTAATTTTAGGGAAGTAGAGAAACAATGATTTAATCAACTTGTAAATTGTTATTTTTTGAATGATGTAAAAATGGTGACTTTTGATTATGGTGACTTTTGTGTTTACCTGAAATACTTTGTCGTTTATACCTACCGTTTATTTGAACTATTTGTTGATTTACAAATGAGCAACGAACTATTTGCTCAATTGACAAATGTGTAAAAAATATTTGCTTATTTGAGCAAATAAACAAAGAACAATTATTTGCTCAAGGGTAGAGCAAATTATTCTTTTCTCATTTGACGAATGAGCAACTAACTATTTGCTCAATTGACAAATGAGCAACTAAGTTTTTTCTCATTTGAAAAATGAACAAAGAACAATTTGCTCATTTGACAAATGAGCAAAGAATAATTAACTCATTTGAAAAATAAACAAAGAACAAATTGCTCATTTGACAAATGAGCAAAGAATAATTTGCTCATTTGACAAATGAGCAAAGAAATGCTTGTTTATTTAATGAATGATTAAAAATAAATTTTGCTTATTTGACAAATGAGCAACTAACTATTTGCTCATTTAACAAATGAGCAACTAACTATTTGCTCACTTGACAAATGAGCAACTAACTATTTTCTCATTTGACAAATGAGCAACTAACTATTTGCTCATTTGCTAAATGAGCAAAAAATTGATTGTTCATTTTCCAAATGAGTAAATAATTGATTCTGTTAAGAAATATAAAATCAACAGAATATTAACAAAATTTAAAACATAAATTTCCAGGATCTTTATTATTTCTTATGGTATGTTTTTATGTGTTACATTTTATTGTTTGAAAAATAGCAGGATCACCTGCAACCCCCTTCCTCCCTTAAACAAGAACACACACACACATACACATAAATACACATACACACGCACACAGACACACATATATGCAATGCACCACACACACTGACACAGACACACACACACAGATACACACACAGACACACACACAGATACACACACAGACATACACACACACAGAGACAGATGCACATACACACACACACTGACACAGACACACACAGGCACACACACAGAAACAGATGCACATACTTACACGCACTCACAACCTGTAATAGAATCGGAAATCAGATTTTGTAATTAGATTCAGAATTAGATTTTGAAATTAATTTCTGAAATCAGAATTGTGATCAGCTACTGAATTGAAATGTTTAATATATAATGAGGAGATGTGCCAAAAATATTAAATCTTATATTTATGTAAAGTTATCATTACACTTTTTTTGGACAATTTCTAATATCATGGTGACTCAATTCACCACAACCTCTACAAAATCTCTTCTTTTTCTGGTTTTGTTCTACAGCCTTTTCTTTTTCTCCCTTCAGCCTTTTTGCAAATCTACCTCTTGTTTCAACATTTGGCACATCAATCTCAGCCCCTTTCTCTTTTGAAGTCTCTTCATTTGATACGTGAACTCCAAGCCCTTTGTTCTTTGAAATTTTTGGAGGTTTGACAATTATTTCAGTTGGCACAGTAGCTCCAATCAATAGCTCAATGTCTTGTGCTTTGTTGTTTGCACTTCCTGCTGTTTCATTATTTCTTGCAATCCTCTTAGCTTCCAAATCCTTTCTTATTCCTTGAAAATTTATCACAAGATCTTGAATATCTTCATCATTTCCTTCTGCCAAACTTACACAAGTGTGTATCTCTGACCATAAGTCATTTAACAATTTTTTCTTGTCAATTAAATTAGCACATTGCTCCAACAGGTTTCCACCCAAGTCAAAAATTGGTTTTTTTAGTGCCATAGTAGTCCATCTGTGTAGCATATCCTGCTTAGGAATGGTTTCAAACCTTTTTGCTTTCCAAACCCAAATCATATGTCTACATGGAATACCTTGTCTATAAAATAACTTGCAAGAACATGTGGTGTCATAGTTAGTTGGATTAAACACAATATCAAATGTTCTAATCCGATTTCCTTCACTTACTTTTGCAACTTCCAATCCATTTTCTTTCTTCAATTCATCAACACCGCAAGAAAAACAAGCAATTTCAACCTCATATTGGAATTCATAAAAGACAGAGTTAGTATATAAATGTGAGGCA